CGGCGGGCGGCGCGCGTCGGCCCACTGGCGCTACCAGCAGGCGGTAACCTGCAGACGGCCGGGTCCCTCGGCGACCCACGCGCCTAGGCACCCTCTTGTCGCGCGCGACGGCCCGTCCTCGACGGTGACGTTGTCCCGGACGCATTACCAGCGACGGCAATGCGGCGAGCACAGCCACGTAAAGGTGGCTAAGGCACTTACGAACGTAGTGACAATTTAGAGGATCTCACAAGCGCGGGAAGTAATGCCTTCCTCGAGGCTCACTCGATGCCGAGATCATTTCCGAAGTTCAAGTGAACTTGACATCTGTGCCTTCACGTAAATGTCTGAACTCGAAGCACTTCAATCATTAATCTGAGCACTCGAGGCGCTCTCCTAGTGAGACTCAAACTCGATCTATCTCACCTCAGTCTCCTCTGTCAGCCTAACGGCCCTGTCCCTCAAATACCGAAAGCTCGGAACTTACTCCTTTCTTGCGCATCCCAGTCTCTGATTGCTCAGCGTCTACTTCGAGAGCATTGGTGGGGGTGCTTTCGAACCAATGGCAGGGGAAAAAGATTATATAGAAAATTTGCGGTTGGAGTTTCGGCGGCACCCCGCGCCTTCAAGGGTGCACCCTTTCCTTCTTGCGATCCAAGGAGGGCGACACAGAAGCTCTCTCCTCCGGGTTGTTTTCAGGTTCTCGCGGAGCCTTTGCATCGATTTTTTTAAGGATGCGGTTATACTGCACTCAGCTGCACGGTGCCCCCCCCCCCCATTGGTCATTGGTCGGTGTCTGCATCGCGGGTGGCATTTGAAATATTTCTTTCGGGGTGAAACAAACGTTTAGATCGGTGCGACACCGGACGCATTCGGCGGAGTGGTTGGCATAAAGAAAACGGGGCGTCTGTGCCCTTGGGCGACCTTTCCGAGGACGGGTGTGCCCAACCTCCTCCTCTGTTTCTCCCTGCATCGCACCGAGTTCCTCCCACCTTTTCGCGGACGCTAATCCGCCCACGCTTGAACAGAAAATACGCCTCCGCGGTCGGCACCCTTGTGCTGAGCCGCAGATCCCCGATGCCCCTAATGGTTCAATTTGCCAGGCATGGTGTGTTGCGAAATCAACACGGCTTCGTTCTCTGAGCTGGCGTGTCGTTACAGTAACTATCTAAAACTACTGTATTTTATTTCTTTTAATAAATTATATTAATCCAAATTTGCCATAAATCACTTCAATTAAAACAGTCACTACAATATTGATTGATGTTATGAATATACAAATATTTTGCAGCAATTACCAATGATATTACGAGTAATTTAAAAAAATAGGTTTTTCAGTATGGCGGCCATTTAATGACGTCTTATCAGTATTGCATTGCATCAATTTATCACAATCACGTGGGTTCTTAAAATTGTTCGTACTTGTACATATGATACATACGTACATGAATTAATTACTAATTTGGACATCTTTAAATCGGTAGGGCGGCTACTTAGAGATGCCGCAACGATATGGCGATGTCATAATAGGCAATGAAAACAAATTTTTTACCAATAGACCAAACAAATAGCTTTGAGCTCTTAATACAAAACGGTATCAAAAAACCGACACTGAATTCAAAATCGCGAACAGTTTGATTCGCCACATCGGTATGGCATAGAACTCCTAAAAAGAACTCACACTCTGGCTATCTAGCAAACAATATGCAACAAGAATTAGCTGTGTACTCATCCCCCAATGGCATAGCTTTTGTCGACGCATTCAAAAAATTGTGCATCGCAACGCCGACACAAAGCCTGTTTTCGTTTTCCTGTTCCTCATAATACTGGCTGACTTCTCAAAACGTTTCAGCTTTGAGCTTATCATACGTGAAATTTCTTGCTGGCCACCGGTCTGTCCGTACGTCTGTAGGCAATGCCAGCGCCAAAATCGTTCAGCCGATTATTTCTAAAATTGATATTCTTCGATCAATTTAAAGGATCAAAACCTTGCGAGTTTGAAATGGATATTTTGATTTTGGGGTACCTTAGAAGATTCCTCAATATTTTAATTTTTTTTCTCGAAAATACCTCCAAATATTTTGATTAAACTTTGGCCTGTGTTAGAGAAAAGGACACTTAAAAGAATGGTGAGGAATCATTTCCGTTAAAAGTTCTGATTCTTCAAAAATTGCAAAAGTTAAAAAAATTTGTTTAAGTCTTCCTTGGACTACGGTATTAAAGATAGGGATTTGTTTTGTTAATGAAATCTGTTGTTGAAAACAGATCTTGAAATTAGATGGTGTACAAATTTACGAAAATATGAGTATTATTGCGTAATTTTACATTAAAAATAGGAAATTTTTAAACAATTTTTTCTAAGAAAAAAGGCTTGAATTGTTTTCCTTAAATTTACTGCTCTAATGTCTGTGTAATGGGGGTATAAAAGGTGGTGCTAGTTACATTTTCGGCAACTTCTCAAAATTTGCAAAAAAAGTTAACATTGCGTAAGCACAATACTGAGAATGGAGATTTTTGTCTTAAATGAAATGTGGTTGCATAGGCTTAAATGAAATGTGTTCTACAAAATGAGATCTTTAAAAAAGGTAATATACAAGTTAAAAAAAAAAAAAAATCGCGAAACTTCTCGCGTAATTCAAACTCCGCTCCAATTTTTTTTCTTGTATTTTTCCCTCGGATAGAACGAAGACCGCTTTAAAGAATGGGGCACGTTTCATTTTCGTAGAACCCTCATTTTCGAAAATAGCAAATTTATAAATAATAAGAGAAAGTATGTGATGTTTCAGCACACTTGGTTTCTCGCGAAGTTGAAGAGCAATTTTTTTCACGAATTTGACCTGTCGTTGGTTTCGTTTTCAGCGGGCGATAAGGGCTCAGACGTCAGTGGCTACCGACGTTGTCGCAAGTGAAAACGCCGGCAAATGACCAGGTAAGGTTGGTAAACGCGCCAGAAAACGACGTCTGATAAGAACCTGACAAAGTATCATCAGTATTGCCACACTAAGAAGAAAAAAAGGGTTTCGAATTAGAATATTTCTCGAAATAAAGTTAGTGGCTCCATTAACAAGGAATGTATAAATTTTTAGAACATCATTACTTACATTCGATTGCATTACATTTAATTGGTGATATACAACAGAAAAAAAGTACCTCTTGGCATAGAATTTTCAAAGATTTGCTGAAGTTTGGCCGTTGGTACAAGATTCCTCAGTAAGAAATATTAGAACACCATCTAACAATTTGAATACTTGAATTTCAAAATCAGAAAAAAATGAATGGTATTGCAGTTGTATGATGTACAATTAGAATGAAACCATGCCTTTTAAGGAGACAAGAATGGTTGTTACTGGTAAACACAATTAAGGAGAAAAACGGAAGATTGCGTAGGGTTGATGATGCTGTAACAATAGCGCTTCATTAGATGGGGGGGGGGAGATGAGAGAAAGAGAAGTCTGCCCGCTTGGCGGATGTTCCGGGCAGCGGGATGCGTGGCCATAAAAAGGGAAAAGCGTTGGAGAGTGAAATAGAGTATACAGTCGACTCGGGATACAGTGGGCCAGGATGAAGTAAAGTTTCAAATGTAGTGAACCAACGTCACTGATCCCGATTTGCACACATTACAAATAAACAATAAATGATTCGGATGTAGTGAACTCTTCTCACCGGTTATTGTAATAACAGAAATACAGTTTCCAGGGGGAAAAATCCTTCGCCTCACGGCCACTAATTCCACCAAGAGAGTTTGTAGGGTCTCGTGAGTTATTTTTCCTGCATTTTCGGCTAATGGAAGGAAATGAGGGAACGTTATACCAAGGAACTTGTTTGAGCTGCTCTATGGCAACCCTGTCAGTTTAAAGACTTCGAGACTGCGAAATGGAATCTAATGAAATTCGAACTGTCTCGGATATCGTTAATGTTGTGAAAGGGGTTCTTCTAGGACAAAAGAAAACATTAGTGATGGGAAAGAGAATTCAAGTGAAGAAAGTGCACAGGGCAAAACATTATTTTCAGACAACATGAATGTTATGAACTTTCGAATTCGCTGTGTTTGTATATTACTGAACCTCTTTAATAACAAATCAATCAGTAGATAAAAGCTAGTTGACCTTCACATTATCGGTTATTGAACCTCCGATATAGTAAAGAGAAAATGTTTTCTCCTGAGTCTCAACATAACCGGAGTCGATTGTAGACCACAGCGGCGCTGCCCTATGTCCCAGGAGCGCTTCTGCCCAGAGAGCGTATCTCCTGGCTTTTCGAGCGGCTGAATTGGCTCAGGACAACAACTGTTGCCCCTGCAGCGACTCTGACCGGGAAGGCATAAAGTTCGAATCGCGACAATCACGAAGTTTCGACACTAGCTACGTAGCTAGGGCGAATTCAGCCGCGGTCTTGGAGAGAATGATAGGGACTGACTGCTCTGATCGGAAGTTTTCTGTGCTTCTCCGACTAATACCAACGTAATGTCGAATAAGTAGCGTAAGAATCGGGCCACGGACCGCGCGCGTTCTTTCCTTCCTCATCCTTATCTCTCCCCTTTTCCTTACACACACACACACATTAGATGAACTACAATGTCACACAAGTCGGGAACTTAGAGCTTGACCCGGCTAGGGGCGGTGCCCCGCTAGGGAAGATATATGGGGGAGGGAAACTCGCGCCTGACGTCGTGTAGGTCGAGACCGGATCTTACGTTGCAGTGGGGAAGAAATTCCATCAAACGAGATATAACATGGACTACACCGAGTGTAATGACCACTGAAGTTCGCGTGGCCGGAAGCACAAGACAATGCCTGAACGGTGGCTTTGTGATAAGCGCCTGTGCCTGCGTGGCCGCGTCGCGCTGCGCCGCGACAGGTGGGTGTCCGTGGCAGCCACGCCGCCCCGGCAGGGCAGCCCTACTTGCTACTTACCGATGCCAGACCTCAGCTGGGGGCCCGGCATGATGAAGCCGGCTCGCGCACTCGCTGGCTCGCTCGCGTGCTCAGCCCGAGAGGCGAGGAGGCGCGACGGACACGGACATGGCTCTGCCGACAGCCCTTCTCGCACAGGTGCACCCGCCGCCACTGCGCAGCCCCATAGGCGGCAGCGGCCGCGATCGATTAAGCTGCACCGCCCACCGCCTAGCGCGCGCCCGACCCATCGATTGGCGGCGCAGGGGTGGCGCCCCCTGCCGCGGCGCGCCACGCCCCCGCGGCCCACCAGCCGCCCGCCCGCGCACCCGCCCTCGCGCGCGCACATGTGTTCCTCGACACCTCTCAATTCTTCGGCGGCTCCTTTGACAGCCCTTCGCTTAAAGCTCCGCCGAATCGCGCCTAGCCCTCTCGCTTCAACTCAGCGCCTCACAGCGGGCGGAAGGCGAACTACCAGCTCCTGTGCTCCGCGAACGCCAATGGTATGTCATTTGTTATCCAGGTAAGGTAATGTTTTCTTTTCAATTTTCAAGGTTTTTGCATTAATTCATGGGGTTTCTCGCTGTATTTATCAAAACTTGAGAAGCAGTCTTATTGAGGAAGCAAAATTGTTTTAATGAAGTTTGTTTTGTAATTGAGAGGTTTGGTTAACATTTGGCTTTGCTCTGTATTATAATTCTTCATGAAGAAGGATCCGTGTAAACCTTTCGCTTGCAACATTCAGAAATGTTTAACGGGTGGGTATATAAAAATAAAAACTTCGAATTAAATGTTTCCGTTCCACCGGGGTTGAATTATGATGTTGTCATGCATTAACTTGCATTTTTCGAGAATACATTTTAGGTTATGGTATGTCACACGTTGAATAAACGTAAGTGTGAACCGAGTTTCTTCTTTTTTAGAACACAATTTCCAAGAATCGTCATGCGCTGTGGAGATTGAGGAGTTACGGCAGTGCTGTCAGCTCTGGCGGGAAAAGTCTCTGGTGTGTTCGGGAATCGACGTGACACCGCCAGAAGCAGCTCCTTCAAATGTAAGTTCTCGTATTGTATTAAAGAAACAACATTGAATGTTATACAATACAATATTGAAGTCCTAAACGATTTGAATTGCAGTAATATCACATAAAAAATACTTTGGTGCTTTAGCAATTTATTTCAGCTGTTTTCATTGTACTTATTTATTGTAATTTTCTATTTCCTTTTTAGAAGAAACCATCTGCAGCAGGCAGCTCAAAGCAGTAAACAAATGGCAATTGTTTTGAAGCTGCAGGAATGAGTGAACACAAAGGCCCAAGGATTTACAAGAATATACCTTCAACTGAAAATATCGACAAGCAAATTCTACAAAGGAGGCGGCTTTTAGCTAAAGATCAACCACTGTTTAAACGATATCCTCGCTTATTTGTTTCTTCAGTGACAGGAGTATTATTTTGTATTCTTTATTCAAGGTTTATTTATGAGGCTATCTTTGAAGAACCACTAGCAATACAGTCTGAGCCACAAAAGAAGAAAATATTAAAGTAATGGAATCTGTGAAAAGAGCAAAAGCACGTGTTCGGCAGTATCCCACTCTCTTGGTGGAATGTGCTCCTATGGCCACTGCATATGCAAAATGTGTATTAACCCATTCAAACCTCAGCAAAGGAGATTGTGAGGAGACATTTCAAGCATTTCATCGGTGCATGAGAGAAGCTGCCAAAAGAGCAAGCACCCGTCTGTGAGAAGGAAAGTATTGTAGTTTTCCTAGTTTAATAGAATTTGGATGTAGATGAATTCCAATATCAGATTGTGTAAATAATAACATATAAAACTGAAACAATAAAATGTGCAGTGCATGAAATAATCAGCATTTTTATGTACTAAGACTACCCAACAGGCACTAATTAATCCTGGTGCTTATCAAAACAAGTGTTTATTCAATTATAAAATAGTGTAAAATGGAAGGCATTCAGAAACATTTATTTACGGCCTTTACTCTACGAATGATCCTTATCACGTACGGAGTGTTCCATGATCGATTGTTTCCAGTTGCTTACACAGATATTGACTATAAGGTGTTTACAGACGCTGCCAGACATGCATGGGAAGGACGATCACCTTATGACAGGGTTACTTATCGCTATCCGCCACTCATTGCTTGGCTTTTAATACCCAATTTATGGCTAGCAATTTGGGGCAAACTGCTCTTTTCTGTGGCTGATGTTTTAGTTGGTTGGCTAATTTACAAACTTGCTGTGAGACAAGGGTGCACTCAATCCAAAGCAATATTTTGTGCAAAAATCTGGCTATATAATCCTATTGCAATAATTATTTCTACAAGAGGTAATTCTGATGCCTTGTCAGCTGCTTTGGTTTTGAGTTCACTTCTGTTTGTCATTCAAAACAAAGTGCGTCCCCTCTGGGCTGGAGTGTTGTTAGGTTTGGCGATCCATGTAAGGCTCTATCCAATTGCATTCTCCCTGCCTATGTATCTCTGTATGGGGCCTCGACCCACTGGAAAGAAAAAACAATGGCAGAATCGAATGTTTGCAGTTTTGTGGCCTAATTCCAGCCGTCTCATGATTACATTGGCGTGTACGTTTACGTTAGCGTTTCTTACTGGTATCGGATGGTTGATGTATGGCTGGCCTTGCCTGGATGAAAGTATTTTGTACCACTTACGTAGACGTGACACCCGCCACAATTTTTCAGTATATTTTTACTTACTGTACCTTGGAGTTGGGCAACCATTGGCCCTATGGCAACGTGTTGCGATGCTATTTCCTCAAGCAATATTACTGTTTGCTTTGTCTGTGACATTTGGAACGAGAAGAAATACTTTGCCGTTTTGTTTGTTGACGCAGGCCATTGTGATGGTTGTATATAATACTGTAGTTACTGCACAATATTTTGTGTGGTTCTTATCACTTCTCCCCCCTATTATCCCTTTCCTAGATATCAGATGGAAGGAGGTGGTAAGAATTGTATTAGTGTGGGTTGGCGCTCAAGTCACCTGGCTGGTACCTGCTTATCTGTTAGAATTCAAAGGTTCAAATAGCTTTCTCCATATCTGGTTTCATGGTTTGGCCTTTTTCTGTGCAAGTATTTTTGCATTAGGGTGTTTAATTAAGGCATATTGTCCCCCTGATGCACGTAGATTTAAATGGGAATAATGTGAGTTTTAAACACAAGGTATAAGCACATGTATTGGCTAAAGTTATGGAAATTTCTAGTTTCTTTTAATTCTGGGTTGCTGCGAAACTATATTTGTTTTGTGAAATACAATGGTTGATTAACAAACCTCTTGCTGAATGGATACCTTTTGCCTAAAAAAGACCCATTCTCATTTTGTTTATTTTCTATTAATTTATTTCCAGACATTTTGATCCAGTGTGGCGATTTGGAAACTGCAAAAATTTGGTAATTTCCTGATACTCAACCTAGCATTAGCCACATATTATACCCCGGAATGTGTTCGACACTAAGCCTCTCTCAAAAAATGCTGTGACATGTTATTGTAATGCCCATATTAATAACACATTTTCTGCCTATTTTGTATGCATAAAAGAATGAAAAAGAAAGGGATTGTCTACATTTTACTCCTTGCTGATTGAAGGCCTTCTGCAAGTTTCAAGAAGTCTCCAATCTTTTTTTATTTTTTCCTCCCAAGGCCTTGAAGTGGTCACGCTGGTGTCTACCCTACTTGATGGAAAATCTTAAGGACAGAAATTGTGATACTGTTCTTCAAATTCAAATGTACTTTCAGAAGTATATAATGCTTTTGTTCGTGAAATGAGTTTAACAAGAAAACTGCTTTTTCAGTTTGTTGCTTTCGAGTAAATTGTTGGCTTTAGATTTGCCTCGTGAATTTCATTTGTTCTCATTCCTTACTTCATATTACAAAATCTTACTTCCCAGATGCTCTTGTAAAATCTGGTGTTTATGAGGCATCCGATTGTCAATTCCTTGAATTAGAAATTTGTACAAAGGTTTCTTTCAGCTAGTATGTTGTTGTTAAACATTTCAAAAAGTATTCAGTTTCTTTGTGTAATTTCAAATGAATATATAATAAACTGTTATACCAATTCTTATACTGCATAAAATATTAGAAAGAAGTCATGCAAGTTGAAAAAGCACTTAATCATATTTTGGAATGAAGTAAATATCATTCCTACCAACTATTATCAAGACTATCCTGTGAAAACAATCCTTTGTATCATCACTATGTATTACATACATTACTTTTTCTTTTTGTTGAAAATATTGTTTTGTGTCATGTTGAAACATATTATTGTGTAAATTCAAAAAAATTAAATATTTTAGTATTGAAAACATTATCAACTTATGTAATAACTAACAAAAGAATGCTTTTGATCACTTCAATATTTAAAGAATAAGTCAGTACTTTTAAAGATCAATGAGTCTTGTATTTTCTAATGGACCACATCGCAGACAACTACAAAGAAATATAGTGAAGTGTTGTTTTCCCCAATCCACTTCGCAGAGAACATAAATAGTTTTAATGTATAAAGAAATTAGATGATTAAGATATTCTTAATACTTCTTGTTTGAGTATATTATGTATGTTAATGAATGATTTCCTTTCTCTTCCATAAATTACCATTGGTAAATTTCTGATTCTTCTTGGCTCTAGTCGCTCCCATGATTTTTGTACTTTGGTGTACTTACGAAAAGACAATGTGAGTTTTCTAAAAATTTGTATATACCTGTTGATTTATAATAAATTATCAAATTCTTTTGACTTTTTTCTTTTGAGACTAGTGAAATGGCAATTAATTAGAAAAAGCAATTTTACTTAAGAATGTTGCTTGTTAATTGAGGGGAGAAAAGAATCCTTCACATTCAACAGATGATAGTAGTCGTTTCAAAAAAAAAAAAAATTGCACACATTTCTTTCATTTGTACAAAACACAAAATGTGACTAATGAAATAAAATTACCTTTAGTTTCTTTCTAAGTTTAGTTTGGGATTTTACAAATGACAAATGCAGTGAAGCTCTGATCTCATGGTACCCCGATTTAAGGTAAACCCACTGTTAAGATAAATATTTTTGGTCCCAAAAATGCCACGCTAAAAAACAATGCATTTCCATCTCTGATTTAGTATTGCATGCTCTAGTATGAAAACACCCTTCTAAAGAAAGCCAACATTCATTAACTTTTCAGGGTTCTTAATTCTCACAAAGCCACATACCAGAGCATCAACCGAGAAAGACAAAAACATGCTATGATGTTTTGAGGAGCAGTGCAATCTTTTGTATTCACTTTCTTCTGTTGGAGTTGTGCTGAAAATTGCTTTATTAGACACCGACTAGTAAAAGTGATTACTTTTATGGCATGCACAGCATGCTAAAAGTTCTATTTTTAGCACTAGTGTTAAAAGTGAGATAATGCTCAAATAAAATTGTGAATACAACAAAGAAATCAAAATACTTTTTTTTGACCGCATCAGCTACTATTGATCTTAATGTAACAATTAAGTGATTTGTGTACTTGAAATAAAGCAAAAGGAAAGACTGTGAGACTTTCTCAAAAATAGTACTGTACACACATGGTAAAAGTGATTATTTTGCTCACTGGATTGCGCTACTCAGCTGGTCAGCCTCGTGAAGTGACATTTTATACATGCAAAATAAAATGTCACTTTTACCATTCTATCAAAAATATCTATTATTCCTTCTTCTCTTTTCAAGTGAACGTTTTCTGTTTCTCTGCTTTTCCGTTAGTGTTATGCGATAGTTACCGATTATAAAATTTTCAATAAGAAAACAAATTAAACAGTAACTGTTGTGAAAACTATTTATAAGGTTAGTAATATAGAAATAAAGCATATATTTGAAATTTGATGTTATTTATATTATCTACCCTGTTTGTATAAACAGCCATTTAAGTGGGAAACAAATGATTGTCCCCTAGGACTATATTAAATTGGAATTTCACTGTACATGCAGATTTATTCCAGCTTCAATCTTTTTTGTAGTGAATATATACCATAAAGTAAATTGGTGTTGGATAATCTAGGGATATTTGAAGCTCTTCAATCCTGAAAACGGAGAGAGTTATATTTGCTTTATTTGCTATTCAAATTGCATATCATTTTTCTTTTGAAATCTTGATACTCCTGCCCACCACCTAGCTTGTAGGTACATTCTATACAAGTAATTTGTCATAAAACATCATATTTATGGAGGAATTATACTACCTAATTTACTAATTGCAGTGACAACTACACCAGAATTAGTTCATTTCTTCACAACAATGTTCAGTTTTATATTATCTATCAGATTTTTTCATGTACATCTGAATTTATCAAACAGCTGAAACTGGCTAAGTGGACATCAAGGGGTATACATTTTATATTCTCTTATTCAAGGACAAACCTTGTTTGTCTGACTTGTACAGCAATTCAATTATGCAGATGTGAATCACATTTGTATCAGTTACATAGGTAAGTATTAAATATTATTACAAAACGTACACAAAAAATTTTATTAATAAACAATATTATGTATTACGTTTTCATTCTATGTAAACCACAAGTAATAAATGAATACATATTCTTGAATTTAGAAAATCATTTTGACATTTGTGAAGTAGCAAAATCAGAAAGAAATTTTTATTTTAAAAACTATAATTTTTGTTTGTTTTTTGCTAACATTCTTTCTAGGATGCTTTACAATTTCATCAGTGATGGGTAAAGTACATTAAAAATGGAATTGAACTCAATCACAGTTACTTCTCAAATATTGTACTGATTTACAATTACAAATTATATTGTCAGAATGTAATTAGTAAAATTATGATTACAAGAACGTGTAGAGATGTATCGTTTAGGATTGAACTACTTAAAATAAACTAATTTTAGTTTGGTGCGCTGGATGAAGCAAAGGAAATTCTCCTATATTGTGAATGGGGCCTCTCGATCAGTCTAGTTTGTGAACTAAATGAACATACCCACCCATTAGTTGGCAACAAGCGAGGTAGTTTGTGAACAAAAAGAACTAAATAAGTGTATTCTAAAAAAATTATTTACGATTACATGCGATACAAGGATTACAATTTTATATCAAGGAGTAATTTACGAGGAACAGGACAATCTGTTAAAAGTGACGATTACATGCTAAAACTATCAACAAAGAAATCCAATCTTTGGTCTTAGTTATTTCAGTCTGTTACAGAGTGGTTTTTTTTTTTTTTTGTATAAAAATGTTGGGACTTCATACTTAATCTCACTAGTAGTGGTTTCTCACTTATTCAGGTATGACTGCATTTTTATGTATTTATTGTAGGTTACTTGTCTACTTGATCACCCATTATGGTTTTACAGAATTCTAATTTACGAGTTGATATAAGGTACATATTTAAGTTTTTGGATATATATATTTTGACCTTGGAATAACGAGATTCCATCAGAGTTTTGGGGAAAATAATGTTTTAATGTGTTTGAACTCTTTATGTCAGATCAACGTATTAAAACAGTTTTAAAGTCAGACTTGTCAAACCTACAACCAATTTGACATTAGATGGATTGTAATAGTTCAGTTATATTTAAGCCTTTCACAACTCATAGACGCCAGAAATCTTTATTAAGCTGTGAATTTGGTTTAAAACATCTTTAGGCTCGTATGACTTTTGATTGTCTTTAAGTATAAAGCACCTTCAAATCTATTTCAACCCTGACAATCACATTTAAGAAGAATATGTGAATTATAATACAAATCATTTGCAATTTTAAACATTTTAATATTTTTGTAGGTCTCTGTTAAAGATGATCTATAAATTTTGCTAAAATTCAGATGGAAACTAGTCATTCTTATTTATCCATTGTAATTTCTGGATTTGTTATAGTAGATCTAGGTGAACTAAAATTAGTTTGCGGACTAGGGTCTAATTTTCTGTGTAGATAACTCTGTCAGAAATTGAATTGTCCAAAATGGAGATTAATTAATATAAGTTGCTGGCTTCTATTTATTTGGGAGTGCAGATTCCAATGTATTTCTTTTAACCATGTGTTTCATTTGAAGTTTCTACCAGATAATCGATTTTCCTTCAGGTCATTTAGTGTACCACTGGCTCCATTTTCAGTTTGTCGGAGTATGACTACTTAGAAATTGAGTCTGCCTCTCCATTTCCTGTGATTCCTTTCTGGAAGGTGAGCCAAGAACAAGTAATGTGGAAGCTGTCATATGAGGGATGGAAATGATGCTCTTCATCTTGCTGAATTAGAGAGTAGGTATATGGACTGTTTTGATTGAAAAAACCTGTAAATGGTAAAGAATTCGAAAAGGTATTTAAACTCTGCCAACCCAGAACATTTCTGGGTTGACAGAGGTTTTGACACTTTAAACAACGACATCACGGTTCTGTACTCAAAATGTTAAAGTAGAGAACGCGGCACGCCCTTAGAGAAGCGTGGAGGGGCAGGGAAGGTGGAGGAGAGTCTCATTAAGCCCTCCCTCAAATTATGCCAAGCTCTCTGAAAGAAATTAATAAAACTTACCGATAGGCGAATAAAGTTTGGAGACGTCCTCAAGGGTGCCAAAAACCTCTCAGATGACCCCTTCTGTGATGAACACTCACACGTGTGGGTGGCTCCTTTCTTACTGCACTTCCCCTCCAAACAATCACACAACTCCTTCCACTTAACCAACCTCGACGGACATTTACACAAGTCTTGTAAATCCTGCAGCAATCAAATCACGTTCGTGTACCGACTCAAAAATTCCTTGCGGCGCAGCGCGTAAAAATAACAAAACAACACATTTATTCGTAGCACAAACACTCGACACTCAAAAACAAATCACAAAGAAGCAGAAGAGCACAAGAAATGTAACTGTACAACAGCAACTTCAACTGACAACTTCGACAGCTACCCCGAAATACGAAATCACAGGGATGACACTTCCATGATTGCGGCACTATTTAATAATGGCGCTCCGACAAGATATAAGGGTGAAACTGCCTCCCACAACTTATGACGTCACGATCGTGACGCATTACAATCAATTAAAATACATTTCAGAAGTGTAATTTTTATAATTTATTTAGATTGCCCGCGCGCGACAGCTGCGCCGGTGAAACCGCACATACTTTGCTTATTGAAAGTAGTATTACTAAGTTATGGACATTTCTTACTGTCTCTCCTCACGGAAAGATTCCCCTCACTGATCCATAATCACCCCTCGTCCCCTCCACCGTGGATTTCCTCCTTGCCGAAGCGGCGCAAAGGGCCCGTTTAAACGACTTCCTTAAGTTGTACCATGTTCTAAACTTCAAGTGTAAACACATATCTGCTGAACATTATAGTATAGTATCCCTTTTTTAATATATTCATGGTCAAATGTGCTCTGCAAAACTGAAATTCATCATACCGTCAAACCCTCAAAATTAGTGGGTCTACAACAGCAAGTACTTTCTGACAATAACGCTTGTGTAATATGCATTTACATTGTTAGTTGATATTTTTGCCTTTTCCATAACAACTTCCTTCAGCAAAATGGATGCGAGATTGAATTTGAAATTTTTGATTTTTTGAGGCGTTAATGAAAATCAGATTTGTACCTAATTTATAAGTCCGCTTTGCTCTAATATAGAATTTACTGTAAAGTATGTTATTATACCATTGTGATTTATATCAACACAAATTGAAAACAGGAAACTAAGTCATTGAGAACTACTATTCCAAATCAAGAAAATTGAAATACCGAAGAAACTTTTTGTGACCAAATTTCCTTATCAAGAAACAGTTCGAAGCCTTCTGTATTTGTCAACCAAGGCCCGTCGAGATATCAGCTTTGCAGTTGTTAATGCAAGCAAATATACAAGACAGCCTATGAAACAGGATGTGAATATTAAAAGAACTCTAGAGAAAGAGATATATTAAGATTTCAATCAAATATGGTATTCACTACTCAAATAACAATACACACACTTGCTGTTTATTGTGACTGACCATGGTGGCGACAGAAAAGACAAAAAAGAACTACTGGATATGTTCTCTATTATGGTCTAATGGTCCAATAGCCCGGTGTTCACGCAATCAATCTGTAGTTGCACAATCTTCTAAAGAAGCTGAATATATAGCTGCTTCTCAATGCTGTAAAGAAACTACGTCAAATCTGTGCTTGAACTTTTGTACAAGAAAATAAATGTCAATTTCCATGTTGATAACCAAAGTTGTATTAAAATGGAGAAGGCTGGTCAGTTAACTCTTAAATGTATCTACATTGATGTTAAGTATCATATCATTTAACATGAATACAAGAAAGGAGATCTTGTATTGTCCAACTAATAAAAATGTGGCTGATATTCTTACAAAGCCATTGTTAGCAATTAAACATCAAACTGTTAAAAATATGCACATGTACTGAATTTATTCCTTGTTTTCAATAACTATGTTAATATTGTAATTTTAAATATTATTGTTCATTTGTTGATATTTGTTTGTCCATATTGTATGTAGGCCTATTCAATTTGTTTGTCATTCTATATCCTTTGATCTTTGTATACTTGTTATGAGTTGTAAACAAATGAAATCAAAACATCTGATTTTTTGTTTGAGGGTGTGTGTGGTGAAATGTACAAATATTAAAATGCAAATGTTTAAAGTTAGTACCGATGATACTCGTTTGTTTTTTGTTATGTTTTGTACGTTGGTGCTAGCAAGCAATAAAACAAAACGATGTGTGTAAAACGAGTTTAAAAACGGTGTTGTGCAACCAGATTGCACCAAATTGCACCAGATTGCACCAGAAACGTAAATTTCAAACAGTTTCTGCTGTATTCCAGCTTTATTTTTGTTTTTTGAACTACAATACATATTTGAGTGTTTGAAAATCTGTAATAAGTATTGCAGTGAACATTTCAAGACGCCTTTCTCTAAAAAACTAGTAATTGAGAAAATTAAGGATGGCATGACATCAATAACGACTTTGAAATTGAAACACTTTGGAGTACAGCTAGTAAATATTAACAAATGTGTTGCGGTTATATAAACATGATGAAATAGAGAAATAACAACACTAGGTAAGTTGCAGAAGCGAATGTCGCTCGTCACTGCACTTCCTCCTCCTCCTCCGCCTCCTCCTCCTCCTCCTCCAGCCCCTCCTCCTCCTCCTCCAGCCCCTCTCCTCCCCTCCCCTCTTCCTCAGCCCTCTCCTTCTCTTCGTCGTCGGTCGAGCGTGGTCGCCCATGTTCGCTCCGCGTCCTCCTGTCGCCCTCGCTGCCCTCCTCTGGCTGGAGAACGATCTCGCTGATGTTTGATGCGCTTCCTGGAGGAGTGTTGGCGCGCCTGCCGACCTCTCGGGCGTCGTCCAGGATCGCGCGCTAGGATCTCTCACGGGCTCTGCGCGCGCTCCTCCCCTCCCCCCCTCCCATTCCTCCCCCTCCCCCTCCCCCTCGGCGCTCTGGTCGTCGGGGGAGGGCGGGCGCGGGCGCGAGCGGACGCTGACGTCGTCGTAGGGCTCCTGCCAGCAGGCGGGGTCCGGCGGCGGTCCGGCCAGGCGCTCCTGCACCGACAGCTGCTCCGTCAGAGGCTCCCGCATCTGCGTCGCCGCCTCTGCAAGCAGCAGTCACTCCCTGCACTTGGGGAACCACCGGACCCAACTCTGGCCGCCACCAACCGCTAAGGCAAGGCTTCGGCCGTCACGCAGCTGTGGGCTCAGCAGCGCGCTGCCGAGCGCTACCCGACTTCTTTACTCTATACACTCATTGCATTACACTCACTAACCCCTAAATACAATTTTCAAGGGAAATAAGATTTTTTTTTTACTTTCTAGCTAAGTACTACACTAGTTGAGGACTTTGTCGTTTAGATTGTATTCCGGTATGAATTGACTGATGGTCACGATTACAGCTATGAACATTAATCCCGTTAGTGTCCTGAAAGTAGCCTTCCGTGAGATGGTTGTGCCCCGTACCCGCGCCGGATGGTACAATACGTTGCCGACCTACACGTCGGCTTGCGGGCGATTTTCACATCCATGCACCTTTCCCCCAGCGAGGCACCGCTCAGCCGGGTCAAACTCTACGCTTTTGACTGACCTGAAATAGGTGGTTGTGTAGTGCTTGTAAGCGTAAAGTGTGCACGTGGGAGGGGAGTGGAAAGGTCAAGAAAGATTAGGAATAGTGTTAGAAGTGCAAAAGGAAGTGGAAGCAAAGGTCGTGAGAATCTGTGTCTCATTTGTTAGGGTTATGCTCCGGCATTCGCTCAGTATGAACCGAAGAAACCTCTGAAAACTAGAGAATTCTCCGAGAAGCTACGGTTGATTTTGATTTAAGAGTATAGGGTGCCTTTATCATTAGGAAGATCCTGATATAAGCATAAGCACGTGCTCAATATGCCCCTTTAGTGGTTACTGAGATTTGAGGAAGCGTGTACGTGAAGCTTTCCGATTCTGGAAATAGTTCTTGTTGAAATTTAGTTAGTCAACACTTCTGAGATGAATGCGGTTCGTTTCTCTCATCGACAATGACCGCTCGCAATTTAAGTTGGCATCAATGAGTGTCATAAAACTGCGCTACTGAACAGGCCGTGGAAACCCTTAGAAGCTGCCTGACTCGCGCCTGTGAAAGACCGACACGAGGGGAGATTATCAAACGACAGACTCCAGGCCTCTTGTGGTGCCTCTGTCTCCGTCTGATTGGGAGAAGTTATTTGGAACTGCCCTTTCGACGGTGGTGCGGAAACGCGTCTGGGGGGCTGGTGCGCGGGAAGCGCCACACCAGCGCCACTGGTGCGTATCTCTCCCTTTGAAGGGATCCGATGCTTTGCGATCGGTAGCGCTGCGAGCGGTTATGTGAGTAGTGGTCCTAATCGCCACTGCGCAGCTCGTGCGAATCCTTCCGTATGAACCAATGTTTTGCCAGCAGAAGCGCCACTCGGAAGCAGCACTGAGTGTCTCCTTGTGAAGTGGTCCTATCTGTCACAGGAGCGCCACTGCAAGCGAATGTGCCATTTGAACCGATGCTTTTCGAGTCTCCCGTTTGAACCGATGCACTGTCTCTACCGATTCTCCCAATTGAACCAAAGATTTATCTCTAGCAAATCTTCCATTTGAACCGAAGCTTTGCAAGTTTCCTATTTGAACCAATGGTTTGTCTCAAGCGAATCTTCTATTTGAACCCAAGCTATGCGAGTTTCCCATTTGAATGGATGCTTTATCTCTGGCAAACCTTCCATTTGAACCGTAGTTTTGCGAGTCTCCCATTTGGACCGACCCTTTATCTCTAGCGAGTCTTCCATTTGAACCGAATCTTTGCGAGTTTCTTATTTGAACTAATGCTTTGACTCTAGCAAATCTTCTTTATGAACCGAATTTTTTCGAGTCTCTCATTTGAACCGATGCTTTGTATCTAGCGAGTCTTCCATTTGAACCGAATCTTTGTGAGTTTCCTATTTGAACCAATGGTTTGATTCTAGCGAATCTTCTATTTGAACCCAAGCTATGCGAGTTTCCCATTTGAATGGATGCTTTATCTCTGGCAAATCTTCCGTTTGAACCATAGCTTTGCGAGTCTCCCATTTGGACCGATGCTTTGTATCTAGCGAATCGCCCATGTGAACCGATGTTTCGCGGCGACAGGGGCGCCGCCGCGCCGCGCCGCGCCGCGCGTGCGGATGCCGTCCGCACCTGGGAAGAAGTCGAGCAGCGGCGGCGCGGGCAGCGGCGGGGGCTCGGCGGGGCTGCGGCGCGGGCGCAGCAGGCGGCCGAACACCTCGTCGTGCGCGGCGCGCAGCAGCCCGCGCTGCTTGGCCAGGTGGCGCTCGCGCAGGCGCTGCTTCTCCACCTCGGGCAGCAGGAAGCTGTGCAGCAGGTCGGCCACCAGCTCCTCGCGATCCAGCGTGTCCTTCCTGCGACACCACACACGCCACACACGTCGTCAAACGACATGGCAGGAGCCCTCTTGTGATGGGATAAGAGGGAAATACTATACAGTTTAGTTTCTACCTTGATTGATTACTAGTGATTCTGGGCCGTCATAGGCTAAGGACGTTAGTCCCGTAAATGTAGTGTATGTTTTGCTGGAAGGTGAGATCCAGCGCCGACCTACCGTCTGCTAGCGGGATTTCTTGCAACCAGGTACAGCGGGGCACCGCCCCAACTGGTACAAATTCTAAGGTCCCGACTGGTCTCCCGACAAGTGTGATGGTGTAGTGTTTGTGTGTGGAAGTGTGTGTACAGAAGGGGCGAGAATAGGATAAGAAAGAGGAAAGAAAAGATCGCGCGCGGTCCGTGGCCTGTTTGTTAGGATACTGCTATGGCATTCGTTTGGCATTTATTGGGGAAACTACGAATAGAAAGAAGAAAATGAATATTAAGAAAGAGGAAATATAAGGGCATGGAGGTTATGTCGGTCGAGAGAGTTTGCTCAATGAAGGTACTAGTGCAAACAGCGTTCCTTTGATTCCAACACATGAAAGATAGTGTTACTCGTACAATCAGTTATTAATCCATATATTCACTTTTACAGTATTGTAAATATACATCGATATTTAAAACGTCCGTGTTTGTATAATAACATTGATGTTTTGAAAACATCGACTTCGAATCGCATCCCCAGTCGCAATGAGGGAGCTGGCTTCTGAACATTGAAATGATGAAAGAACACAGTTGGGTTCAAATCTCCGAAAATGCAGTAAAGAAAGACCTAATGGTGAGCCCGCAGACAACCCGTACTACGTGTTCAGAGCCAACTTGCGCTGTATAGGGCTACGCAGATCCTGCCACGAAGGGAAGCAAGCACTGCCATAGCACAAGGTTGCAGTCTAGTCATAGATAAACGCAAGAAGACGTAAAATTATATCCACTATTATTAATACCAAATTATTTCCAGTAATCCTTGGATTTATTGCACTGAGGGAATACTTGTACAATTCATTATTTTTAATGATTTATTATTTTTATTATAATCTATGCGCAAAACATCTAGTAATAGAAGAGTTGCTTTAACCCAGAAATATTAAATGTATGTATTGTTTTACAAATGTACTTTCAATTTTCAACTATATGTCCAAAACCCCCGTTGCTGGGATCTATGTGATCGGCAGGGTATGTCAGAGTTTTCATTTAAATGTCCGTGGATTAAGGTCATGTTAGTAATTCCTGTGATGACTGCGTAATATTATTAAGATTACATCGAATAATGTTTGCATAGTACTTGCAGAAAGTCTCTCAACGTCTAATTTAAACTAACTTAGTTTTAATGCATTTGTATCTCTACGTATTTTTAAGAACATTTAGAACACAACACTGTTTGTGAGAGAGACTTCGTGACAGAAGTTTTGAATAAATACATATTTTATATAAAAGTAGTGCTAGTGTTTATTTACTTTCAAAACTACAGAGAAGGATTCATGATGATGTTCATGATGGGGAACACATTCGGTAGATCATAGTTATATGAGTTAGACACGAGCCATGATGATATACAAAATGATGATGACAAACAAATGTGTAATTCTAATGATAGAGACAATTATTCTTATTGTGTCAACCAGTAAACAAACAAATGTGTCTCACATATCACTGGAATATAGAACTCTTTCTTTCAGAAACTGTATTGCGAAAACTTTACAAAATTATTACTATGATCATATTCTAAAATTGTTCATTTAATAAATAACTATTTGAGATGATGTTTGTTGCAAAAAGCTAGGATAAAATTTTCATTAAATCACATTTTATTACATGTTTGAACAGTTTATGCAGAGTTACTGTTTAGTAGAACATGAAAATAACCATTGAGGTTCTAGGGAAATAATGCACAATTGCTGTTAGTTGTAATTACTCTTACTACTTCTTAAATACATTGCAAGTACACGTTTGGGTTCAATTTACTTAAATTATTATCTTTGAATTTTAATGATTGATTGATGATTCCGGGCGCGACGGCTGCTAAGATCAAAGGGGTAAGTTCCGTAAGTGTCGAACATATTTCTATTGGTAGCGGTAATCTTTCCCCAATGATCGGCAAGGCTCGGCACCGACCCACCGGATATAAATGATTGCATTTCGCAGAAAAAGATACCATTTTGAACACTTTAATTTAAGTATCGTGAGAGTTTAGTTTCATTTGTTGTTCATTCGGAAATTATTTTAATTAAGAAAAGCAGTTGTTCATGTGTCTTTTTAGATGAAGGATTATGAAGACGAACGGGTTGAGAAAGAATAAAATGCTGGGAACGGACTGTCACAATTCGCCACTCCAAGATTTGTTCTTGTAATAGTGTTGCATAACACTATTTTTCAACGTAAACGCCGCTATGAGACTGTTTGGAGAATCATTTCTCTAAATTCAACCGGAATAATACTGGTACAAATGCGCAATTCATTAACAACACGCAATTCAAAAACTAACAAACAGAATAGCTTCAAATGAAATACTGTTCATATCAATCTATTCAATAATTAAATTAAACCAAAGCTAGCTTTATTACTGGTTACTTGACGCTTTGAACTAACAGCTCGATGGATAATTAAAAACATTGCACGTTCTTGTAACCTGCATTATGTAAATGTGTTAACAACAGGAATGTATCCGAGTAGGCATCAAAACTGCAATTTATTTGCCGATTCGCCTCATTGTACCGTTAACTGTGCATACATTTCCAATAACAGTAAGAAACATTACACTTCAAACAGTACATTTTGTCAGGTGCTCCTCAGGACTCACTATAATCCGTTTGTAAGAGAAAAGATGTGTGACTAACAATTTGGCCCCTGGACGTTCTGGAGTAGCCGCAGGGGCGCGGCGCAGTACCTGAATTGATGCCTTACTGATACATTGATACAGACCAGGAGGCCTGCTCTTCCGTCTAACCACTCAAATTTCGCTACGCTCCTTTCACCAGCTAGCAGACAAAGGGGGTATTTCGTGGGCGAGAAACAGGCGATTTGAATTTAGCGCAGAGGCGTCATTTAGGCATGAGGATCTTTTACCTGCAAGTAAATCTACTAACATGGGACAGCCGGCTTTACTTCCCCTCCGAAGGAAGGCGTACGAAGGTACCTGCGGTGCGCCTGCTCGGCCGCCTCGTCGATGCGCCGCACCACGAAGCGCACGTAGCGCCGCGCCTCGGCGTCCGACGTGCGCTGCAGCGTCTGCAGGATCACGTCCTCCAGGAACACGTCCACCGCCTCCTGGTGCACCTTCACCACCTGCACAAACACACGCGCTCTCCTCAACACGCACTAACAAATAGGGGCGGGGGGGGGGGCATCGGTTGAGAATCGCAGAACGGGCCAGGGGCGAGGTCTGGGAATGGGAGAGGGTATGCGAGGGTGGCAGCAGTACGGTCTGTGGGTGGGGACTGGGGGTGAGGTCCACGTGTGGGGACTTGGAGATTGATCTAGGAGAGAGGGTCTGAGAAGGGCCTGTGAGTGTGACGAGGGGAGAGGGGCTTGTTAGTTTTGGCAGCGATCGGCACCTGGTCTGCAGACAGGAGAGTTTGTGAATTGGAGCGGGTTTTTTAAACGTAGGCGAGGTCTGGGGAAGCGGGGTGTGAGAAGGGTCTTTGAGTGGGGCGGGGGAAGTGGGATGTGAATGAGGGG